TTCAGTAGTGTTCTTAGCTGCGAGGATCTCTTTATATCATCAAAACAAAACCCGTTTCTCCCAAAAAAGGTTAAGTCCAGTTGCAATTTCGTATACTCGGTTCAGTTTTGATCTTCATATCAAATCGACATCAAGCATATAAGGGCTGAGTACGCAAAGGAAGCCTTTTTTATTTTCTAATGCGGATTGAAGGCAAATGTTTATTGTATTTTCATCGTCACTTCTCAGCCTCGCCGATTTTGTTTCGTTATTTCTAACCTTAGTTCTGAGGGATGCCTATTAGCATGCAAAATGACTTGTTAGGGAGCAAAGTCATCGAAAAATATCTTTGGCATTGGACTCTGGAACATTATCCTTGCATCGTCAAGACTATTTCTTGCACGGTATTCATAAAATAGGTTGTTACTATTTACAATTTAAGTAAACTTACCATTGATTTGCAAATTTATTCATCGACTTAGCGCCCGCTAAGTCGATGACAAGTAAATTTCTATAAGAAATGTACAGTACGCGGCTAAGAAGCATATCCATGTATATCATATGTGGGTTCTTGGGCTCTGCATAAGGGTAAAGTGGCCTCATGGTCTCGGGCATGCGACATCAGGCGATATTTCAAACACAGGGCACATTATTCTTAATTCAAACAAAGCTTGGCCAGTAACTAACATATCTGTTCGTCGCTGACGTGAATTGGTCTGTAAATTTATTTGTGTACATACAACTGTGACATTAATGCTATCAGCTGTTAGTAGCATCTTAAAATATTTCAGAAAATTATAGAGTAGTCACTACAATATGTATTGAATAAAATACTTTCATGTACTTGCTGATTGGGTTATCAGCCAAGTTCTCCATGCTTTCCTTGTTCTAAGTTTGCAGTTTCATAATCAAATACTTTCAGTAAGACGCACGCAGCGAGATACTTGTCATCAGACTTCTCTACAGTAACCGTAAAAAATCACAGACGGGAATTGGCAGAAAGTCTAATAGAAAAGTAGTGAGCATAAATAAAAGAAACTAATTAACTACGTGGAGACAAAAAACTCAAGATGAAGGTTTTCCAGCGCCAAAATACAAACAAATGAACTCTGACAAATATGAATAAATTGAATACTTTTATAGTCTTAAATTTATAGCCTTTTTTCCGCTCTGGCTCAAGATGATGGAGTAGGGAGAATTCATAACATCTGCATTATAAACTGAAAGGACTGTCATGGATTTTTTGGATTTTCTATCGAAAAGTGTTTTTTAAACCTTTTCTAGTTTTTATTAGGTTATGTAAACACAAATGCCCGTCCTTGCTGCCTTTTTTAAGATATTTTTCTGAGACACGCACGAATCTTAAACGTCACAGCAGTGTTTAACCAATAATCCCGAATTGATATTTTTCTTTATTCCCATCACTGCTATGCTTGATATTGTATTGATATTGTAAGGAGAAATTCTCTCTTGAGAGGTAAAGGGTTAATTAATCCGTCAATGCTTTAAAATGATTATTAGGGACAGTACAAGAGTCGGGCAAGAACGTAGTGAAGCAAGAGATATCATAATGATGATCAGAACAATCAACAGCTTCAGTTCATTTCTGAGTTGTAATCTTCTAGACCGCTACGTTTAATAACCAAATTTTGCGTAGTCTAAGATCAAAACCATTCACGAAAATTGTTTCCACCTCTATTTGGAACTCAACAACACCTTCGTATGTTCTATTGTCATCATGGTATCCTCCCGCTCCAAAGTAGATTCTAGAATCAGTGCTTGTGCAGTCTTTTTCATTATTTCCGAGAATACCAACTCTTGCCCTGGGCTGATCTTCATGCCGAGGCATATGTTGGGGAAGGGTGTGTTCCATTAGGTAATTTATTCTCCTGTGAGTCCGAGTCTTGAATCCTGTTACAAATAGGATTACAGGCCATCATTTGATCGTATAGTTTGGTGAAAGCTGGGGAAGAGGATTTGTCGCCATTCACAGTCAGCAAAAGGAATATAGCGGTGATACAAACTTGACGGAATACACTCATTTTGACGAGTTGTCATAGTTTTATGCGAATAAGAAGACTTTGTGAATGTTCTGTCCAGCCCTCTTACGAGTAGCAAGCGTGTAACCGTGCCTCTGTGTATTGTGTCTCAGTAAATGAGCTGGTAAGATCTTAGCTTCTATAAGTTTGAAGAGGTTATTTCTTTCGCTCAATTTTTCTTTAAGTATCAAAGACCAAGAATATATTTTCATCGGTTGCTTATCCCTAGCTGTGTCAATTAGAGAATAATTTATTGGTGATCCAGTCTTTGGGTTGAGCAAACACAAAGCGTCTTACTTCTGCGAAAAAAAAAATGCCAAAAGAAATTTCGCTCGCCTCGTTCAGTTTTGATCCCAAAATCAAATTTTCCTTGATCCCTGTCGATTTTAAAGTTTTCAACGACTGAATAAGCTAAGGAAGCCTTTTTCTCAGCTCTTTGTGCACACTGAAAATGCAACAACAAAAAAATACAATAATTGCATTTCTGCCGTCTATTTTAAGCTGAGGTGATTTTGTCCTTTAGTTTAAGCCTAGGACTCGTATACGAGATGGTCAAGCAGAGAGCCAGTTCGTCGAAACTTTTCTCTGGTCTATGTGTTATTTCTATAAAATAATTACATTCATCATTTATTTTGCGGTTTTCGTAAAATAGTTCGTTACTATTTACAACTTAAGTAAACTTAAATAATTGATTTGCAAATTTACTGCTCACTTGGCCGATGACACTTCAAAATGGGCTTAGTGTCGGGGAAAACCAGAATACAGCAAGTGCGAAATCAGGGGAGGAATGTCTTTTTTTCGGTTGAAACAAAGTTTTTCAGGCCAATAACACATCTGCTTATCGAAGCTGTTAATTAGTTTGTAAACTTACTTGTGTAAATATAAAATGCATCATTCTATCACGGTTGTCAGTGGCGTCTACGGAACATTTTAGAGCATTCTAAATGATATACGCCACGATTAAGTGGAAAGACTAGTCACTAAGACATGCATTGCGAAATAAATTTGATTTACCGATCAACAAACTTTCTCATTCCTTTTCAGAACAGACAGACAGAAAGAACAGAAAAGGAGTAAGCAAGGCTGAAAGAAACTCATTAACCATGCGGTAAGAGAAACAAGATATGTTTTCACGGTGCCGAAATACAAACAAATGAACAATTCCAAGTATAAAACGCCCTTTGATTCCCTTCCAATTTCCAATTTCCTTTCCATTTCTCAAGACGAGTGCATCGAGAGAACGCGAAACATCCCCACATAAAAAAAAAAGAAAGGGGCAGCCATGGATTTAAAGGAGTTTCTATTGAAAATTCTGTTAGCACTTTAAGTGTCAGCGAAGAAAAACTCGTAACTCATCTTTATTGCTTCTGTTAAGATATTTCTCAAGACACCCGCGAATCTAAAACGTGTGACGTCACAGCCGTGTTTATGTACTCTCATCTTAACAATTCTACTGACCAATGAGAGCGCATGTAAGATTTCGGTTTTCGCATTAAGATTAAAAGGCAGAAGATTTTAGGATATTTCTGGTATTTCATTGGCAAAAAAACAAAACAAAACAAAACAAAAATCAACGTGACGGTCACGTTTGTGTTAGCAGGCTACAAAATTTATGACAGCGTTCCGCACGCTCTTGCAATCCACAAACATTGCAGGATTTCGTTGAACCACTCCTCATGGTTGCAAAATTGGTCAAGATAAAATTTCTTGGTAATCAAAGATCGCAATGCATTTGCTTCAATCAGGGGGTTTCTTAATAAGGGGAAACGTCAGGGAGGTTCGGAGAAACATCTTACTCTCTATCGATAAATTGCAAAAGGGGCTTTAAAGGGTAAGTTCTTCCTCTTCAATTCACTGGACAACTATGTCTCTACATCTTTTTATCCGGATTTGGATCATTCCTAGTAGCAGCGAATCGTTCAACAACCGCGAAAGTGACCAACTAGAGATGAGTACAAAAACGCTGTCTTTGTGTACCAACTTATAAAGAGTGACACTCAGAATAAAAGTGTTGTCATGAAGGAGAATTAGAATTTAGACCTTAGAGTAGCAACGTCTTCCGTGTTTAGATTTTATCTGTAATAATATATCAATAGGAGTATTATTGTGCGCAATTTTAGTGAAGGGATAATCAGTTTTCAATCACAAACTTTTCTCACTGTTCTCTATTAAGGAATTATTCGTGACCATTTTATAACAGATTAATGATGGAAGGACTCGATGCATTCTGACACATACTCGTTAAACATCATCTTAAATCTTAGTTTAAGTTGAAACTCAGCTTTGTTGTGAATTATTCACTGGATCATATCACAAATATGCATACGTCATTGACAAGGAATATTTTTTTTGCGCCAATTTTTTTATTCATGTGAAATCCCAACTTCCAGTAACATAGCTGTATTATCATGACCATCGAAAATTGTTAGGAAATAATTTTGATCATGAACTGGATATCTACGGTAAACTAACGAAGGTCCAAACTAGTTAAACGGTATCAGTTTTGAACGACTTTTTTATTGGATTTTACCCCTTGAGCTACATCTACATATTTGAGTTTAATTTGAGCATTGCTCGAAGGCCATGTCACAGAGAGTTGAACGATTCCCTTGTCACTGCACTAAGATATATCCCATAGCTTTGATGTGCTTCTCTCCATTGTCCGATGTGTATCCTTTTATTGCATAATTTCCACAAGTGATGGTGTCATCCTGATATCCTCCCGTTCCAAAGCCGATTCTGGAATCAGTGGTCGCGCAGCCTTTTTGATCATTTCCGAGAATACCGATTCTTGCTTTAGAATAGCCTTTGGAACTGCCCGCAGCATTGAAGCCTTCCTTGTTACAGTTGGCCTGTAAGGAGGATTGTGAGCCGATCAACTTCTTCCACGTGTTGCGACCCAGTGCAGTATTGCGGTATTTTCCATCAGCGATCAGTGAGTGGAGAGAGCTTGCCTGCTTGTTGATGACAATAAACCTGAGCTGTTGGTTGATTTTCATACCGAGGCATATCTTGGAGAAGGGTGTGTTCCAGTAGGTCGGTAATTTGGTCTCCTCTGAGTCAAAGCCAGTCTTTCCTCCGGGAAGGTTGTAGATATTTTTGTCGATCCAAAACTTGGAATCATAATGGAAGGTTTTCTGAAATGTTGAGAAAAGGAAAGTTATAGTGGTGTATAGTTTATAACAGTGGTATTCCTTGATAGTAAAGTAGTATACCTTCTTGCCGTCAATCTTCATTGCCAAGGTCCATCCTCCATCTCCGCATCTCCAAAGTTTCCCAAGTGACAGTAAACAGTAACGTTTTGTGAACCAAACACTAGGGAGTAAACTTGACTCTTGCCGACCTGAGGATAACAGAAATACTTGTGTCCACAAAAGTCACTACCGCCCTTGTAAAAACCAAGAGGAAGGGTCTAAAAAAGGTCTACTTATCTTAAATGTAAGAGTACAGGCTACATTTGCATTAATTTTGTGATGATTGTATCACTATTCATTTACTTGTATTTTTCGTAGTGTTCCTTGCAAGAAGAGGCTGGTGAAATGAAAAGAACAGTGCAGGTTAATATTTTCAAAATAGCTTTTATCATTCTAAAACGCTTAATCCGACTTACGAAGAATGGAAAGAAGGGTTTTAAAACAAAAACGAGAACCGTTTGTGTGGCTTTTGAAACAATCGCGCGCGTTGTTTAAACCCTCAAATCAATGGCAAGAGTTGCTACGCGAGACACGTAAAATACTTCAGTCTGGTTGGACTACCTGGAAGTGAAGGAGAACGATTCTTCATTGCTGCAATAAGACCTTCGAGTTTGGTTTGTAACATTTTCATGGCATCGTTGGCGTCCGAGTCTTGAATTTTGTTACAGATAAGATTGCACGCCATCATTTGGTCGTATGGCTTAGCGCAGGCTGGGGAAGAGGATTTGTCTCCATTTGCGGTCAACAAAAGGAACACAGGGGCGATACAAACTTGGAGGAGCCCGCTCATTTTGACGATTTGTCTTAGCTTAATGGGAATAAGAGGACTCTGTGAATCTTTTGTCTGTTATGAGTAGCTAGCTTGTAACGTCGTTTATGTGTATGCGTCTCAGCAAATGTTTACTACGGCCTCGGGCGGTTCTCAAGACCTCGGGCACAGTTTTTACCAATATGGACCTCCCAGCTGGTGAATAACATATTTATTCAGATCTATAAAGAGAACAAGATACCGGTTCATTTATTTGGATGAGTAGAGGTTTGAAGGTTGTTGGCGAGGCGGACACTTTTTTTATGATAATACCGAATCGAACAGCAACCGCGAAAGTGACCGACTGGCAATGGGAACAAGAAATGCTCTCTTTGTATAGCAACATAAAAAGAGCAACTCTTTGAATGAAAATACAGTCATGAAGGAGAACTAGAATTTAGACATTAGATTAGCACCGTCTTCCTTGTTGAGATTTTATGGCTAATGAATCGCAGTATTATTACGCGCAATTTTAGTGAAGGAATAATCACTTTTCGATCATAAACGTTTATTACTGTGCTCTGTTAGAGATGCTCTCGTGACAATTTTTCAACAGATTAATAATAGAAGACTCGATGCATTCTGACACATACTCGCCAAAAATCACCTCAAATCGTAGTTTAAGCTGAAAATAGGCTTTGTCATGAATTGTTCACTAGATCATATCACGAATGTGCATAGGTCATTTATAATGAATATTTTTCCGCGCCAATTTTTTTATTCATGCCAAATCCCAACTTCCAGTAACGTAGCTGTATAAATCATGACCGTCGAAAATTGTCAGGAAATAATTTTGATAAGAAACTGGATAACAACGGTAAACTAACGAAAGTCCAAACAAGATAAATGTGATTAGGTTTGAACGACTTGTTTTTCATTGGCATTTATCCCTTGAGCTACATCCACATATTTGAGTTTATTTTGGGCATTGTTCGAAAGCCATGTCTCGGAGAGCTCAACGATTCCCATGTTGCTGCACCAAGATATATCGAATAGCTTTGATGTGCTTCTCTCCATTGTCTGATGAGTCACCTTCTATAGCATCATTACCACATGTATTAGAGCCGTCAACATATCCTCCTGTTCCAAGACTCTGAAATCAGCGGTTGCGCAGTCTTTTTCATTATTTCCAAGAATACCGATTCTTGCTCTAGAATAGCCTTTGGCACTTCCCAGTACTAGTGGTTCTGCCCGCAGCATTGAAGCCTTCCTTGTTACAATTGGCCTGTAAGGAGGATTGTGAACCGATGAAATTCCTCCACGCGTTGCGACCCAATGAGGTTGCGCGGTATTTTCCATAAGCGATCAGAGAGGAGAGAGAGAGCTTACCTGCTTCTTGATGACAATGAACTTGAACTGTTGGTTGATCTTCATACCGAGGCATATCTTGGAGGAGAATGATTCTTCATCGCTGCAATAAGACCTTCGAGTTTGGTTTGTAACATTTTCATGGCATCGTTGGCGTCCGAGTCTTAAATCATGTCACAGATAAGATTACACGCCATCATTTGGTCGTAGGGCTTGGCGAAAACTGGGGAAGAGGATTTGCCTCCATTTATGGTCAGCAAAAGGAACACAGCGGTGATACAAACTTGGAACAACCCGCTCATTTTGACGAGTTGTCGTAGCATTATGAGAATAAGAGGACTGTGTGAATCTTTTGTCTGTTATGAGTACGTGGCTTGCGTGGCTTGGCCATTCCCCGGCTGGATAAATTAAATAGTGTACTAGTAAGCCAGTGCAAGGTTGAGCGAACTGACAACCCGTTACCCCTGAAAAAATTATATCAGTTTTGATCGTTATATCAAATCGATATCAAAGCATTTAAAGGCTGAACACGCAAAGGAAACCTCTATTTAATTTCTAATGCAGACTGAAAGCTTATGTTTATTTTTTTTTCATCGTCACTTCGAAGCCTTGCCAATTCGCAGAGGGTCCTATAGAAAAACAGTGAGCGTGAATGTAAAGGAATTCATGAACTACGTGGAGAAAAAAAACGCATGATGAACGTTTCGTGGCGCCGAAATACAGACAAATGAACTCTGAAAAATATGAATAAATTGATTACTCTTATAGTCTTAATTTCATAGTCTTTTCTCTCTGTTCTGGCTCAAGATGATGGGGTCAGAAGCATTCGAATTATCTGTGCTATAAACTGTAAGGACTCTCATGGATTTTATAAATTATCAATCGAAAAGTGTTTTTCAACCCTTTCCAATTTTAAGATCAGGTTATGCAAACATAAGTGCCCGTCTTTATGGGTTCCGTTAGGATATTTTTCTGAAACACGCACGAATCTCCGTGTTTACTTACTCCCATCGAAACTTAAAATTGTTAGACTTAGGGAAGTATATGTCTACAGTCCATCTGGAAAATGTTTTCTTTTAATTTGGATCATCACTAGTATGTTTTACAAACGATTCACCGGATATGGAACCCTTGAGAAGTCATTTGCTTGAGGACAGACGTTTCAAGTCGAACGAAGACCGTCAGATGTTAACTGTACTTTCCCTGCATCGCCTTTTTTCATGGCCTAAATTCGTAGCCGTGTGTACTTTAAACGCTGATTGAAAGGCTTCCTACTTAATCGTTAGATGTCAAGGCACGCACGGCTAGAACCAGTCAAATTCTCCTTCTGGTCGGCTCAACACCTCAAAAACATTGTGCTTAAATGCCCCCGTGAGAATAATCATTTAAACGCAACATTTCCTTTTTGTTTTGTTTTGAGTGTGATAATCAGCTACGCAGGTAACCTTGAGTTATTAACTGCTGGTTAAAGTGTTATCGATTCTGCTATTTGTTTTCAACAGCAAATGACAAGAGCGTTTTTGGAAAGAAAATTTTCTAACAAGTAAAGTAGTCCTCACAAATTCAGAAATGTCTATAATGAAGGCTCCATTTTGGTTTTTATGACAACTGCGAAAGCAAATTTCAATGTTTGAGTGCTTTTTCATCAGACACACTTCATCAGAAAAAGTAGTCCAAACAATCTTCAATTAAATTTCCGTCGTTGTTTATAAGGATCATCTTCTTTTTCATTCTACCAAGAGCCTGTTTATGACCAGAGTTTGATTTACCTTTCACCGCTCTGCAAATAAGTAAAAATAACATTTTTATTGAGTAAAGTAACTGCTATTTACTTTAGTGCTTCCTACTATGTTTTTTTCTTCTCCCCTTTATTTCAGAAATTGACGCAATCTTCTAGTAAAGGGTCCAAAATATTGAGTAACGTCGAATTAAGCCATTAAATTTCCTGCCGAGAGGTTAGTTTACCGTGTTCTCTCTTAAATACGCATGGTGTCCCTCGCAGCTTGGTACAGAATGACAGAAATCAACGAAACATCATCGATAACGAATACGGGAATCGTCAATATTGCCTTGAAAGCTTTCTCGCCTTGTACAGCTATCGTATTGAATAGCTTGGCAATCCATGCCTTGATAAGGACTTCATCTCTAACAAAGCCTACGAAAACATTGCTCTTGAGTCTTGCAATGTCTGATCTCTCTGTTGGTTTAGTATCTCAGCCGTTATTCATAGCACGCATTTTAAGACAAAGTTTTACATCTGTGTACTTCATTTCTTTGGTCTTTCAAACTGCTCTTGCACGCGTTTCGTTTTTTGGAGTCAGCTTTGAATGTGGACAGACTCTTGGCCATTTATCTTCGTCTCAGTGTGACTTGTGACTTGTGACGTGTTGTCAGAACAGTCAATTTACTTTGGGTTTTGAGTTGTTTTCTTCCAGCAGTTTCCTTTCTTTGCTTGATTCCAGCGGAACTTTTAGTCAGCATTTGAAGTGTTTGTTTTATTTGAATGACAATTTCATGTTTTCGGCTTTACTTTGCTGTAAGACGCAACAGAAACCAAATTCATGCTTTACAAGTACAACAAACAGTGCAAGATGGTGAATTAAAAGATGGTTCAAGATTTTAAAAAAGTGTATTCAACATATTTTATGTGTATTTTGTCTTTTGTGTTTGTTATCTGCCGAAATATTGTTTTCATGTTTGCAAGGTAATATTTAATATGAATATTAACGACTCGCCATTTGAATTATTTTAATTTTGTTCTCAAACAATGTTCTTGAATTCCTCTTTGAACCCTGTTATTTACTGATGGAGAATGAGACACATTCGACGCACCATCATCAATCGAAGTCTATACAGCGGATGATCAACACGGAAAATGAGGCACTGTTGATCTGACGATATGTTCCCTCATCTGGATCATCTATGGGGATCAATTATTATTATCTATTTTATTCATTTATGGTCAGCTCGGCTGGTTCTTTTGAATTAGGACATTATTTTTGAGAAGAGAGAAAAAACATGAACAAACAATGGAGTGGAATAGTAATGATGATATTAACTAAAACAATCATTACAATAATGAGTAGGTTATGTCGTCAAACGTTTCTTTTCCATTGACCTGCGATGCCAGAAGACAGCTTACAGATTGTGAGTTTTATAAGTGAAATAACGATTCTAAGCAGTAGGGGTGGTAACGTCGATCCTCATTTCTATTGAACTAACCAGGGAGCTTTTGACGTTGATTTGGATGGGATTTTAAGTAAAAAAGAGGGAAAAAATGGTTTGAGAAACCGAGCTATTTTGAACGATCGTCTTATTTCTTTGTATCTCCTCATGCTAAGACGTTATTTTGGCGTTCATTTGCGCCATATATTTGACAGTGACTGTCATGTTTTCCTTGTCACTGCACCAAGATGTACCCCATTCCCTTGATGTGTTGTTCTCCGTTATCAGGTGAGTATTTTGCTAGGTTACCACACGTGTTGGAGTTGTCAGGATTCCCTCCAGTACCAAAGCCAATTCTA